AAAAGCATAATCCTTGGTACTAGACGTGCCCCTTTGCTGTGCTCCACTGTCTGCTAGGCGAGACCCCTCCCCAAGCTGAGTTTTAAAAGCATTATTGGTGCTAGACATGCTCTTTTGCTGTGCTGCACCCTCTGCTGGGTAAGAGTCCTCCCCAAGATGACTAAACAAGAGTCCTCGGTGCTAGACATGCCCTCTTTCTGTGCTGCTCCCTATGCTAGGCGAGACCCCTCCCCAAGCTGATTCAGACAACATAATCCTTGGTTCTAGCAGACGGCGCAACACAGCAAAGGGGCACGTCTAGCACCGAGGGACACAAGCAGCTTGGGGAGGAGCCTCGCCTAGCAGAGGGTGCAGCACAGCAAAGGGGCACGTCTAGCACCGCGGATTCTTTTCAAAACCATCAGCTTGGGGAGGGGTCTTGCCTAGCAGAGGGTGCAGCGCAGCAAAGGGGCATGGCCAGCACCAAGGATTCTTGTTAGTCAGCTTGAGGAGGGGTCTCGCCTAGCAGAGGGTGCAGCACAGCAAAGGAGCATGTCTAGCACAAAGGATGCTTTGTAACAGATCAGCTGGGGAAGGGGTCCCGCATAGCAGAGCGTGCAGCAAAGAATGAGGGCATGTCTAGCACCAAGGGTTCTTTTTTAGTCATCTTGGGGAGGGGTCTTGCCTAGCAGAGGGTGCAGCACAGCAAAGGGGCATGTCTAACACCAGGGATGCTTTTCTAAAATCAGCTTGGGGAGGGGTCTCGCCTAGCAGAGGGTGCACCACAGCAAAGGGGCACGTCTAGCACCAAGGATAATTTCCGAATCAGCTCGGGGACGGGTTTTGCCTAACAGAGGGTGCCGCACAGCAGAGGGGCACGTCTAGCACCAAGGATTCTGTTTTAAAACATCTCGGGGAAGGGGTCTTGTCCAGCAGAGGGTGCCGCGCAGCAAATGGACACGTCTAGCACCAACCATGCTGTCTTTAATCAGCTTGGGGAGGGGTCTCGCCTAGCAGAGGGTGCAGCACAGCAAAGGGGCGCGTCTAGCACCACGGATTCTTGTTTAGTCATCTTGGGGAGGGGTCTCGCCTAGCAGAGGGTGCAGCACAGCAAAGGGGCATGTCTAGCACCAAGGATGCTTTGTTTAATGAGCTTGGGGAGGAATCGTGCCTAGCAGCGGGCGCAGCACAGCATGTGGCGCGTGCTTGGCGCCAGGGGTGCTTTGTTGTTATATATATATATACATACATATACATTTACAAAATCAGCTTGGGGGTGGGGCGTTGCCCAGCAGGTGGGCGATGCACAGCACATGGGGCACGTCTAGTACCAAGGACTCATTTTTAATTATGTTGGGGAGAGGTCTTGCCCAGCACAGGATGATGCACAGCAGCTGGGGCACGTCTACCACCAGGAATGTTGTTTTGAACCAATTCGGAAGGGGTCTTGCCCAGCAGAGGGTGATGCACTCAAGCGAAGCGCGTCGAAGGCAAAGGATTTGTTACCAGCTTGGGGACGGGGTCTTGCCTAGCACGCGGGCCTCGTCTCCGAGAGGGTGCTGCGAAGCAGCGGGGGGGAAATTGGGTGCAAAACATTCGTTTGGTACGCTATTTCCCCCGTCATTCCGTGGCTGGCCCACGCCCGCCTGCACTTGCATCGTCTTTCACCAGACCACCAGACCACCGCCAGGATCAAGTTTGGGTTCAAGTTTTGGCTCAAGTTTTAGCTCAAGGATCTAGCCGAGTTTTTCCGGATTTTCCGGCTGCAAGGATCCCTGCGGCCGGAAAAAAAACGCGGGGACGCCAGCGGTTTTTCTGACTGCATTTCCGCCCCACGTACCCTTTTTCCCCATCTGCTCCCATCTGCTCCGATGGCCGCCACCGCCGGCGAGACGTCTCAGCAGTCCCAGAAGAAGTCCAGGACGGAGGGCCTCGTCGACAAGTTCCAGAGTGCAAGCTCTACGGATGATAAGTTGCTGGTTATCTTCGAGACGGTGGTAGAGCATCAGGCGGAGGTGGACCAGAGGTTCGGGCAGGTCGACAGACAGTTACAAGGGTTGGGAGAACGCATCGACACGCAACATAACCGGTTGGCTGCACTTGAGCATCGCATGGGGAAGGTGGAGGAGGGAGGAGCAAGTCAATCAGGATATCAGGGATCCAGGCATGCTGATCGTGAGGCTGGTGGACAAGATGAGCCTATTTCTCGCCGGAAGGTCATGTGCGTTGGGGGGCTTCCGGACTACACGGACGGCAATGATATGGAGAAGTGTTTGAAGCTTTGGCTAAACCAGCGGAGCGGCGCCATTGCAAATAAGTGATTCCCTCATCAGGTACTACATGCAATTTCACTTTCAAGACCAAGAAGCTCATGTGGGAAAGGATCAACGGGTACAAGGAGGGCGCCAATATCAAATTCGAGAACAGCGACCTTTTCATGAAGGTCGACATGAACCCTGAAGAGAGGAAGGAGGCCAGGAATATCGGGGTGGTCATGGGCGTCCCCCGGGCGGCGGCGCCTTAGGAGACGTCCGAGCCCAAGTGGTCCCTGAAGCAGGTGGTGCGGGCGACCGCAGGCCGTGAGCGCAGGGCCACGTGCGCCGTCGACGTGGACAAGTGCACCGTCAAGTGGGAGGGGCTTTCCGCCACCGTGCTCTCCGCCGCGCAGAAGACCGAGGCGGAGTCCAAGCACGGGGAGCAAGCACTGTGAGCCAACAGCGAGGGAGACGCTTCACCAGCCCACGATTGCGGGTTAAATATTATTTCTTGGAATCTGTCGGGATTATCGTGGGCGCGTTTGAACGAATTCATCTGCAAATTTGATTTTTGGCATGTTCACTGGGGCGTGTTATTCATCCAGGAGGGTTTGCTGGGAGTGGCGGCTGGCGACTGCAGCGCTGGTTGTCCGAGTTTCCAGTGGCGGCAACATTCTGTGCTGTTTGCCCCCGGGAAGGGCGGCGTGCACGGCGCATGAATTGTGGTGCGTTCCAGACATGATGGTCATGTGGGCATGCCCATAGTACACAGTGATTTCTTGATTGCCACCGATCTACATTGGCAGCGGAAGAGATTATTATTGGCATCGGCCTGTTTTCGGCAGCGTGCGCACGGGGTGGCAGCGTTCCAGGACCAGCTGGGTGACGCGGAGAAGGCGTTCCGGAGCCATCTCCTCCCTGGCGACGTCCTTTTCTTGGGCGCCGATGCGAATGCCAGTGCGGGCGCGACGACGCGCAGCGAAGAATCTGACGCAGCGGGCCCGCATGGGGGTCCCACAAGGGACGCCCGAGGAGAGTTACTGCTACACTTGTGCATGCGGCGGGGCCTCAGCATTTGCAACACTTTCAGTGTCTTGCCAGAGGGGGATCGTTGCACGTGTTGGTCTGGGGGCGGCCGTTCTTACATCGATTGCGCCATCGCAAACAAGCCTTCGTTTGTGAGATCTTGCATTCCAGTTCACCTACCAGTCGAACCCACGAACCATTACGCTTTGGCCACGGAGGTCACTGTGAGAGGAAACAAGATTCGAACGCAAAGGAAACCGATTTCGTGGACATGTGACAGCCTTGCTGGCTATCTGACGTCTGCGCAACGTTCCGTGGAATGCGGCATGACATTGGAGGAGTTTGGCCAGGCTTTGCGAGGGGCAGCCGAGGGGGCTGGCCGCGCGCCTCGGTCCTGAAAATCACGCGCACGAGAGGAGCAGGTAATCGTGAACACTCTGAAGAAGATGTGGCGTTCAGAAACACGCGTTGAGGAAAGACGCCTCATTGGGCGTTACATTTCGATCGAGCTCACGAACCTGTCCAAGAACGCTGCTCTGAGGAAGAGCCGGGCGATCCTGTGCAATCCTGGCAAGGAAACTTGGGGCAGGAAGTCCAAGGCGCGACGTTGGCAGGTATTCGTGAAAGATGCAGATGGCAAGCCGCGTCTGAGCCAGGAGGCCATCTGCAAACGTGTACACAACCATGTCGCGATTCAGTTCAAGGACCCTGACAATTGGGGGCCTCCGCAATGGGTTTATGGCGAGTTCCCAAACAACACCCTGGCGCAACATCGACGCCCTAGACTTCGACCCGGCCATATCCAGCATGAAGTCGGGCAAAAGCTGTTCTCGTTATGCTATGGTCGTTGCAGAGATGGCGAAGCCGTTGCCTGAGGCCCCTGGGCAGGACAACGGCTCCAAGATCGAGCCGGCGCGGGAGGCACTGCGCGAGGCGTTGCTCAACGATTTGCCCAGCCGGAAAACCGGACAGGCCCGGGCGAGGCATCGCTTAGAAGAGTCCGACGCGCCATTGCGCGTGCCCCCGCAGGCATAACGGCAGTGCACCGAGCAGGACTGGCGACACTCTGGCACGAACAGCGGGACCTTCAAGATTGATGTTGAAGCGTCATTGCTTCCAAATGGCACGGTAGTCTCGCGCCCCAAAGAGTTGCGGCCGATCTCGTCGGCCCCGGCGCCCCGAAATGTTCTCGGGGACCTGGCCCCGGCGAAGACGCAGGGGCTCTTGAAGGGGGCGGGCGCGCGGCAATTTGCATGCGAAGCTGGGCGCCAAGTCAATGGCCCTGCATTGTCGATCAGAATACTGGGCCAGAAAAGCATGGAATGGCGCATGCTTTTCCTGTTTGGGGTCACTGACGTGCCCAAGTGTTTCGACGAAGTCGGCCATTCGTTTCTGCCCGAGGCGCTTCTGCGCAAGGGCGTGGATCGCGCCATCGCGGCGTGGTCTGTCCACGAGGCGAGGGGCTCTGCACTGCATCTTCGACTTGGCGGAGTCGACGTGCCACCCGTCTGCGTGGCCAGGAAAATCCCGCAATGATCTAGGTACGGTCCGTCGTTATATGCCGCGGTGCTTCATTGCTGCATTGAACCAGCGCGGCGATATTGCCGTCGTGATCGATTGGATTATCGACTCGACGATCAACATACACCCTTCGTCTTTTTTTGCGGCGGCATCTTCGTCTTCGCTCACGATGCCGGCGATTTTTTTGAGATCCACTCTAGATTGCAGCTTGCGCTCGCCATGGGTGGATGGAGGCTGTCAGACGACCGCCGCGCCTACCGGATGAACAAGTGCGTCGGGGACGTGTGCGGGGCGCGACTCAAAGAGTACAGGGAGAAGCCTCGGGGTACTTCCTTCGAGGCACTCGGCTCCATGATCAATGCAGCAGGCGCGTGCCATGCCGACGTCGCCGTCAAGAGGCACGGCTGCAGTTCGGCCATCGAGAAGCAGCGCCCGCTATGGAATTGCCCGAGAGTATCGCGGCAGAAGAAATGGGGCCTGATGTACAAAGTAGCAACATCCAGTTATTCGTGGTGCGTGGGCGCATGGATTGCCAATCGGCGCGAGTTGTCTTCCTTGACAACAGCTTCTACGAAGGCGGCAAAATCCACTTTGCGGGTTCCTCGGGAGCGGGGTGACACCGACGAGGCGCGCCACCAGACCTGCAGACGCATTCTCCGGGATACGATCATCAAGGCTGGGCTGGCCGACGTCGACGTCTACGTGCTGAGCAGGATGCGCGACTACACGGGCCACCTCGCCCAGGCCATTCGCCGGGGTCCAGAGCATCTGGTCGGCGCTGTTATCCGGCACAGGGATCCCGCGTGGAAGCGCATCATGACGGACACCATCGGCCATCAGGGCCACCCAGACCGGTTTGCCCCATGGCGTTGGGAAAGACAATGCGATTCTCATTTTGCCGCGCAAGACTTGTCTTGGATGGAAACCGCTATCGACCGAGAAGCTTGGCAAGCCCATCGGTTTTCCTGGGTCGCGCGCATGATGGGGCACAAGCTGCTGGAATTGCTGGAAATCTCCGAACCTACAGAACTTATAGGTGGTTTAAAATAGCCATTGTCGTCGGGAGGTGTATACTTCGTTCTCCTGAACCTAGCAGTTTATAGTGAAGCAGCGGTAGGAGCTTATGTTCACACAGGCCGCAGT